TCCTGCAGTTCTGTGTCCGTGGCTTCCGTGAGTTCTTTGAGCACATTTAGGATATTTGATTTAAAGCCTTTGTTTACTAAGTCCAATGTCTAGGCTTCCTTGGGGATGTTTTTGTCAGTTAAATATTTTCCTCTGAATGAATCATACCTTCCTGTTTTATTTTCTTTAGATTTTAGGTCAGTAAATTTTTCTTTGTGTCTAAACTGCTGTTAAACCTATCCATTCAGTTTTTAATTTGGGTTATTGTGTTTTTCACTTGAATTCTTTTTTTTTTTTTTTTTTTTTTTTTAAACCACATCTGCCATATCTTTAAAAAAAAAAAAAAAAAAGGTTTCTAACTCTCTACCAAAAATCTCTATCTTGTATCTCCTTCACATAATATTTTTTAGTTTTTGTTTGCTCTTTGGCCTAGTTTTTCTTCATATTGCCTTGTCTTTTGTGACTTTTTAAATATTGTGTGTAGAACATTGTAGTTGAAATTTTATTTGCAAAAAAAATTTGAGGTCTAATAGTAGGTTTCTCATTATTGTTTAATTTGCCTTAGAGCACCTTTTCATATTCTTATCAGCCATCTTTTAAAAAGTGGTCAAGGATAGTGACCATTTAAAAGTTGATTTATTTATCTTTTTATTATTGATTTGTGGGTGTTCATTATATATCTTTTGTCGTATACAAGGGGACTTCCAAAAGTTCACAGAACAATGAAATTAAAAGATAAATATAAGAAATATATGACTGGCCATGGTAGCTCACACCTGTAATCCCAGCACTTAGAGGCTGAGGTGGGTGGATTGATTGAGTCCAGGAGTTCAAGACCAGCCTTTGCAATATGGCAAAACCCCATCTCTACAAAAAATACAAAAATTAGTTGGACTGCCGGGTGCGGTGGCTCACGCCTGTAATCCCAGCACTTTGGGAGGCTGAGGCAGGTGGATCACCTGAGGTCAGGAGTTCAAGACCAACCTGGCCAACATGGTGAAACCCTGTCTCTACTAAAAGTACAGAAAACAAAAAACAAAAAACAAAAACAAAAACAAAAAAATTAGCCCAGCATGGTGGTGGCTCCTGTAATCCCAGCTACTCAGGAGGCTGAGGCAGAAGAATCGCTTGAACCCGGGAGGCAGAGGTTGCAGTGAGCCGAGATCGTGCCATTGCACAACAGCCTGGGCAACAAGAGCGAAACTCTGTCTCAAAAAAAATAAAAAAATAGCTGGGCATGGTGGTGCATACCTATAATTACAGCTACTAAAGAGGCTGAGGTAGGAGGATCGCTTGAGTCCGGGAGTTCAAGGCTACAGTGAGCTGAGATGGCGCCACTGCACTCCAGCCTGGGTGACAGAGCAAGACCCTGTCGAAAAAAAAAAAAAAATAGCTGGGCATTGTGGTGCATACCTATAGTTATAGCTACTAAAGAAGAAATAGAAACTTTTTTCTTAACACGAGCGCCATCAAGTTCAAGACACCTTTATGAGCAATGATGCCAGCCATTTAGTCCCTCCCTAAAGACCTAATGGTTCTGGGAATTTAACCATGGCCATTGAGTCTTTTTTACATTATTAATTGACAAAATGGGTACCCTTTACAGATGTTTTAAAATTAGGAAGCAAAAAGAAGTCAGAAGGAGCCAAATCAGCACTGCAGGGTAGATGCCTGACGATCTCCCATGGAAACTCTTGCAAAATCAGCCTTGTTTGCTGAGAGGAATGAGCAGGAGCACTGTCATGATGGAGATGGACTCTCTGGGGAAGCTTTCCCGGGAGGGGGTTTGCTGAAGCTTTGGCTAATGTTCCCTCAACACTCTCATACTAAGCGGATGCCACTATTCCTTGTTACCCCTCCAGAAAGTCGGCAAGCAGAATGCCTTAAGCATCCCAAAAGCTGTTGCCACAATCTCTGCTCTTGACTGGCCCACTTTTGCTCTGATGGGACCACTTCCAGCCCTCAGCGCCATTGCCTTGACTGCGCTTTGTCTTCAGGACCACACTGGGAAAAACATGTTTCACGTCATTACAGTTCAAAGAGAGCTTCACGATCTCCATCCCACTTGTTCAAAGTTTCCACGGACAGCTCTGCTGTTTCCCTGCGCCCGATCTCGGTGCAGTGGTTTTGGCACCCACTGAGTGGAAAGTCTGCTCAACTTCCATTTTTCTGTCAGCATTGTGTAAGCTGAACCTACTGAGATGTCTGCGGTGTTGGCCACTGCTTCTGCTGTTATCCAGTGTCCTCTGCACTTACGGCTCAGACCAGATGAGTGTTTTCCTCACCAAGTGGTATGGATGGCCTGCCACTGTGGGTTCTGTCTTCAGCGTGGTCCCATCCCTTCTTAAAACAAGTCAACCATTTGTAAACTGCTATTTTCTTTGGGGGCATGAACCCCGTAAACTTTTCAGAAAGCATCAGTGATCTCACCATTCTTCCACCCAAGCGTCACCATCCATGTGATGTTGGTTCTTGCTTGGCAGAATTCACGTTATTGTGATGGAGGCTCTTTTCAAACTGAAATCTTCTCCTTCTTAGTGCCTCAGACTGCCTCCTCTTCAGACATGTTATAATGAGTTAGTACAAGTGTATTTGGGTGCGAAGATCTTTTTTGAAAGTCATGCATAGTTTTTTCATGATATGTATTTTCCATGAATTTTTTGAAGACCCCGTAATGGATATAGTCTACTGATCTGTGGCTTCTGTTTTTGCTTTCTTAGTGGTGAACATGAAATGGCAAAAATTTTAATTTTGTTTTTCCTAAAAGCTTTGCAGCTTTAGCTATTGCTTTTGGTCCGGTGAGCCATCTCAAATGAACTCTCGTGTATATTCTGATGTAGAGGTCAGTCTGTTTTCTTCCTCTATGCATATCTGATCGTTCCAGTCCCTTCCTCTCCATACTGAATTGTACTGAATTGGGCAGACATTTGTCAAGTGGCCGTCGGTGTGTAGGTCCATTTCTGAATTTGCTATTTTGTTTCCTGTAGGAATTCCCTTATTGTGGCAACACCACACTCTCTTAATGACTGACGTTTTCTAGGAAGTTTAATCTTTGCTCAGGAAAGACTTTCAGTATTGATCTTCTTCAAGAATTTCTTGATTTTTTTCAGGTCGTTAATATTTACATATGTTTTAGGAACAGCCTGTCACTTTCTGTAGGCTAGCCCACTGGGATTTCCATTGGGAGTGTACTCAGTCTGCCGATTAGCTGGGTGAGATTAGACATACGAACAACACGAGCATTCCTGTGAATGTGGTGTCCATTTACTGGCATCTTTTTTGTTTCTCTGCAGTGTAAAGATGTTATACATCTTTCATTAAATTTATCCCTAGGTAGCTGATGTTTTGGAATGCTATCATAAATATTAGTTTTCTTTAAATTTCCTTTTCCAGCTTCCTGTTACTAGAATATAAAACTATGGTTGACTTTCATATCTCATATCCTGCGATTGTGCTAAATTTGCTATTAGTTCTAGGAATTGGTTTGTCCGTTCTTGTGGGTTTTCTGCACACACAGTCTTATCATCTGCACGAGGCCAGTTCTCCTTCTCTCTGTCCATTCTGTGCGGGTGACTCCTTTTCCTGCCCGCCTGGAGATCCCTGCTGTGTCGACTGGAAGCATGGAGGCACCTCGGGGAGGTGTTGGGCATTTTGCTGTGGGCAGGGGCTCAGCTGTTAGTTCCGTAGAGGCCCTTCCAGATGAGGAGCCCCCTCCAGCCCTGGCTGCTGAGCATGATTTCCAGGAAGGGGTGTGGAAGTCGCCGAGTGCCCTCCATGCACCTGTGACCAGTGCCCAGTGGGGCCCTCCCTGGAGTGGAGCGGAGTGACTCCCCGTGGCCAGCAGCCTTGCCTTCCTGGGGCACACCCCGCATACGGCTTCTCCCCGGGTTGGGAGAGTGGAAGGGCTGCCTTGCCACCACCTCCCTGCACACTTGCTTCGCCCAGGTCCTGGGGCGTTGCGCCTGCCAGCTCCTGGGTGGTTCATGCTCCTGTGAGGGCACTGAGCAGCCAAGCAGGAGGCCTTTGTGGTGGCTGAGTAGAGGCGTGTGGGGCCACTTACGCGCCCTCAGGGGCCAGGCCCCACCAGTCCTCCTCCAAGGCCCGTTCTGGCTGGTGGACATCAGGTGTGTGGCCTAGAGACTATCAGGCTGCAGCTTGGGGAAGCAAACAAGGGAGGGTGATGGTTCGTGGCCCCACACCATCATTCTGGTGTCAGCCCTGAGGGGGTGCCTGTCACCGCAGGTTCCAGGACCACTGTCTCCTGAGGATGGAGAAACCGTGGCACCTTGGGGGCCACTCAGGGAGGCCAGCTGATTGCAGCCACGTGTACCTTCCTCTTCTCGTCTCTGTGTTTTGTAGATGACCGCACCTCGAGCAGGAGTGGGGATGCCACGTCTGCCCCCAGCGCCCGGCCCTCTCTCCACCACGGTCATTCCCGGAGCCGCCCCGGCCCTGTCCGTGCCCACACCAGGTACTGCCCTCTCCAGCCTCCCAGCCCCATCCTGTGCGCTGCCTCTGGGTCAGTACGGAGGCCTGCTCCCAGCTCCAGTGTCCTGGGGGCCCTGGGCAGGCCAGGTGGGCCAGCTGGGGGCACAGGGCAGCTGGAGCCCCCCGCAGGTGCCCGTGCTGCCGGTCTTCTTGCGGCCACCTGTGGTCAGCATGCCCGGCGCCCGGCTGCGGATCACGTAGCCTTCTGCCCTGTCCCTTGCCAGATGGTGCCCGCGGAACCGCCCGGAGAAACCAGGTGTGGTTTGGCCTCCAAGTCCCCCCCACCGCCTGCTGTGGGCACAGCACTCAGCCGCGAGGGGGACAGCGGGGGGGCAGCAAGACTGCTTCCTTCGCGGCTTCAGACCCTGTTCGCTCCTAGGTTCCTGTGGTCCACGCGCCGTCTCCACACCCACTTCCTATACTTGAGTTGGTGGTTAGAACCTTGTCGTCACCCTGCAGAAGTACAGTGCCTTGAATGCCAGCTTTTCCGTTCCCTGATGAAAAGATATGTTTAAAAAAATTATCGGAAAAGGTTTCATTTGCAATTGGCTTGTGCATTGATAATCTTTATTTACTGTTTTAAGTTGCAGAGATGTGAATGGTTTACAAATCTGAAGCTGAAGTTCAATCTTTGGTTTTCTGTTGTAAATGCCTTTTTAAAACATTGAATTAGCTACCTTAAGTACTGAAGAGCTTCCAGTGCTAGGCGAGCCCTGCTTTGTCCTCAGTAGAGTGCCGGTTCCCTGGGCTCATCCAGGGGCTGAGAGACGGCAGGACGCTGGGGCAGGGCACACTGGCGGAGCTGCTTGCTCAGTAGGGAATGTCAGCTGCTGCACTGGGCCATGAGAAATCCACCAGAAAACGTTAGGTGAGCAAACATGCCTCGGCGCCAGTGGGCTGCTGTGAGGATAAGGTGTGTGTTGGGCGTAGAAACTCTGGCTGCCCGCCCACCCTGTGGAGACAAGCACAGCTCCTTCAGCTGGAGAGGCTGCCCTCTCTCCTGCCCACTTCCCTCCCTTCTCCATGATTTCCATGGAGGCCTGCGGCTCTGCTCACCCCTGGCACGCAGACCGCTCTCCTGTCCACCACTCAGTCTGCTCTGCGGAGGGCGGGGTCATTCTTCTCCTGGAGATTTCAGTGGGACTCGTCCCCAGCGGGCACAACACAGCCCTTGGTGGGAGGGGAAGGCCCCAGCCTCCTCCACCTCCTGCTGGAAAGCAGGCTGCTTGGGACTGCCCAGCTGTGAATTGTATAGTTTCTGTACTTATTAGAACTGGGTACATTATTTTGGTTCAAATCTATTATTCCATCAATTCAGTTAGAATTGAATTTTCTAGGTGTTATGCAGAATCTTCTGCCAGGGCACGATGCTGTCGTAAGAGATTTCTGTTCTCTGTACTGGGCCCCCTTGCCCTGTTCCTTGAGTGAAGTGGGGGCTGCCCTCACCTGTCCCCCTTGCCTGTGAATCCCTTCCTCGTACATGGTGGTCAGTGGCACGGAATCCCCAAGAGATTGTATATCTGAAGGAGAAAAATAAACACTTTTGCTCGAAAACAGTGTGAAACAACATCTTTTTCTTACCCTCTGTCCATATAAAATCCAAACCAACCAGCCTCCTAGGCAGCACAGGAGTTGGGAGCCAGTACTGGGCTCAGCTGCATCCACACCTCTGGAGGAGGGCACTGAGGGGCTGTGGGTGCCACCGGATGCTGGGCAGGGCTGGCCCTGGCAGGGGTCTGAGAGCAGGGCATCTGGCAGGGCTGCCTGGCCCCCAACACTGCCCCTGCCAGCTGTGGCCTGGGCCCTGAGCACAGTCAGCTCTGCCGGTCGGGTTAGCTGGCTGGGCTTCCTACCACTGTGCACCTGGTTATGCTTAGCAGTGCCACAGGCTGTGCCCATGATGGAGGGAGCCAGCCTCCTGGTCAGCGAGACACACCTGCAGCCCCTGTCTCCAGGAGGCTTGGTTTGCATCACTTGCTGCAGCCCCTGGGGCCACCCTCTTTGCTCCAGGTGGGCCGAGCTCAGGGGAGGTGGGAGGTCCTTGGACGAGCTTGGGCTTGTTGAGAGAGGACTTGGGGCTGGGGTTGCCCGGGTATTATGCAAGGGCAGTGGCTTTCCTGGTAGGCACAGGGGCCTTAGGGAAAGTGGCCATCCAGGGTGGGGACTCATCCTGGGGGCACAGTGCATGGTGGCAGCCAGCCCCCCGGCTTCCCACTAAAGACAGCCTCCAGCTGACTGCAGTCCCTCCTGCACATGCTGCATCACAGGCCTCACCGTGAGCAAGCTGAGGGTCCCAGTGTCTCCTGCCCGGGCCACTGTGGGGGCTGCCATGGCTGTGGGGCCACCTCCTCAGAGAGCTGCAGCGCCAGCCTTCGAGCTTCTGCATGGAGGGAGGAGGAGCGCTCGTCCCAGAGCCTCCTGTTTTGGGTGTTGGGGGCAGCTCGCTCCCAGATGCTCCGGACAGTCCAGGAGCTGAGCGTCTGGGTTTCTGGCAGCTGTTCAGTGTGCTGACCGGTCACACAGAGAAGGGTGGCCCAGGTGACAGAGGCTGCCAGGGCTATGCTGAGGACAAGACCATCTACACAGGGCGTGGGTCACGGCAGAGCTGGCGCGGCCTTCCTGTCGGCAGCTCGGGAGGGCGTCAGGGCCCGGCCTCGGCGAGCGGCCAGCACCGCAGCGGGCCCACAGTGAGTGCGCGGTTTTGTTTTCCAGATCCTGAGGGTGAGAAGCCTGACTGACCCCGCCTAGACGCCAGGCCCACTTCACGCCGTCTAAGTGGAGATGTGACGGACCCTCAGGGCCAGCTGCTCCTCCTGTCCAGTTCACGCTGTTTTGTAACCACTTTCTAAGCATTTTTTATTCACAATTGGAAACACAAATGTAATGCAAGAATAAAAAATATTTTGGGGCAGAAAGGACTTTGGTTTTTCAAACTCTTTCCTCTCTGGTGGCCCTCCGCCAGCCAGGTGACTGGGATGTGACGGCGGTGGGGGGACATTCCCAGAGCCCTGGCACGCTCAGGGCAGCTCTGTTCCCTGCAGGGCCCTGGAGGTGGCGGCCCCCGGGAGGCTGATCTCCACGTTCCCCCGATGCCAGCTGGCATGGACTCGGGGTGCTGGGTGCCTCCTGGCCTTTGCTCACAGAGCTCCATGAGGCAGGGCCTTCCCTCTGGTCTTTGGAGGCTTGAAGCCACCCACCACCCCCACGCCCACCTCCCAGGCACCCTCCTTCCAGAATTCACTTGTACTGGCAGGGAAATCACCAGTGGCCTGGGGTCGGAAACCTCTGGCTGTGGGTGGCAGGCCTGAGACCACCGGCTCCTTGGAGGGCTGCATTCCCCCCACTCCTGGGAGGGGTCCTAAGTGTGAAAAACGAGGAATGTTGGCATGTCCTCACCAAGAAAACATGCCATGGTAAGGTCCCCAAACCCTAGCCTGGCCAGCAGGCACAGGGGCCTTACGCTGGGTCCAGAGGTCTAGGGAGAATTTGGGGCCCCATGCATCACAATGAGAAAGCATTGCATCTTTATTGTCATTAATGTCTAACTGCAACTTAGCATTTCCTCCATTAACAGCACCTGGACTTCATCACCACTAGAAACCACAGATATTGCTGTGCCGTTTCATTTACATCCATGACATGGTGCCCTTCCCTGAGATGTAAAACTGTCCAGCCGGCTGATAAGAGCGGTGCTGCCTGCCCGTCTCAGACATGAGTCTTCAGGGCACGGCAACGCTGCTTCCCCACAGGAGTGTCGGGGATGCCACCCCGGTGTGTGCGGGTGGCCTCGGAGCCCTGGTTCTCCTCCGTGTGATCAGCAGGGTAGGCCTCCTCCAAGCCTCAGCTGGGAGCAGGGACGGCACAGTGCTAGGAACATGGCTTCCCTTGGTCTTAGTTTGTGTTCTCTTCTGTTGGTGGCTCATGTGACTGGTTTTCTGTGGACCATAGTAATGCGGTTTGCCTTTTCTTTTCTTTCTTTTTTTTTTTTTAATGAGACAGAGTCTTGCTCTGTTGCCCAGGCTGGAGTGCAGTGATGCAAACTCGGCTCACTGCAACCTCCGCCTCCCAGGTTCAAGGGATTCTTCTGCCTCAGCCGCCTGAGTAGCTGGGATTACAGGTGTGCGTCATCCGACCCGGCTAATTTTTGTATTTTTGGTAGAGATGGAGTTTCAGCATGTTGGCCAGGCTGGTCTCAAACTCCTGACTTCGTGATCCGCCCGCCTCAGCCTCCCAAAGTGCTAGGATTACAGGCATGAGCCACCGTGCCCGGCTGCAGTTTGCCTTTCAAACTGCACATTTATTTTAATCATTCTCTGTAAGTGAATAATAGTGTAAATGTCAATGGTAAAACTTGGTGGTAGTGTGGTAGTAAATAGTAGTAAAATGGTCAATGAAACGGTAATGGTCAAGCCAGCACCCTCTGGGGAGATTCTGCACAGTGCACTTCCAGGACCCTGGGGCCCCGAATCCCAGCTTCATCTGCTGCTCAGAACCACCTAGCAGCCCTCCAGGGGCCCCAAGGCTCAGTCTCAGAATCCAAGGCTCTTGGTGTTCAGCCTCACCCACTAGACGTGCTTCGGGCTTCACTGCTGCCGCACAGCGTCCGAGCCGGGCCCGGATTCGTTCTTGACCCCCCCAGTCCCCAAACCCCCTTCCATCCAGTCTCCGCGCTGCAGCCTGCAGCCTGCAGCCTGCAGCCTGCTCTCCCCTCTCCTGGGTTCTAGCGCACAGTCTGGGTGGATGGCTCACCAGAGCCCCAGAGACCTCAGCCCCTCGTGTAGAGTTCTCACGGATGCATGTTCTTTGTTATGCTTGACTTCCTGAAGGCAGGAACTTAAAACTGTTTTTTGATAGCCCTGCGCCTTCCAGAACAGTCACTGAGTGAATTGTGCTGATGAAGGCAGACTCTCCTTTGGGCGGGTGAAGCTGCCAGTGGGAGCTTACTGGCTCTGATCACAGCATTTCCGGGATGGAAAGGACCCTGCCAGGCCCCTCCTAGGACAGCAAAGGCAGCACCACCTGGGGCCAGTCCAGGCTCCTCCTGCAGGGGCAAGGCAGCCAAGCCACAGCCTCTGTTCTCCAGTGTCATTTTGTTCCTAGCTGACCCCAGCATCCAACCAGACTTCCAGTGTCCAGGGTGATATCTGTGCCTCATCTCCAGGCTGAACAGCTTCAGTTCTCTGAAAAGTGCTTATTACTAAAGGGCTGGTAAGGCTAGGCACGGTGACCCATGTCTGTAATCCTAGCACTTTGGGAGGCTGAGGCAGGAGGATCGCTTGAGGCCAAGAGGTCAAGGCTGCAATGAGCCGTGATCACATCACTGCACTCCAGCCTGGGTGACAGAGTGAGACCCTGTCTCTAAAACACAAACTAAAAAAAAAAACAAAAACAAAAAATAAACCACCCAGAATCGTGTCTTCATTCATTGGAGAATGCAGTAAGCCTGGGCCGGGACGCCTGCTTTCCACGTGGTTAAGGGAGGTCAGCAGTGGTGACCACTCTGTACACATCGTGGTTGTGGTCCCTGAACTTGGCTTTATTAGACTTGCCCTTGAGGGGGCAGAAGGCCCGCATGCCACAGGCATCACTGTGCTGGTGGTGGCTCGTGCCGTCCTGCAGAGGTGCGGAGAAGAGTCCCTCACCCTGAGAGGACACTGGGGGTCGAAGGCTGCCCGAGGCCAGGCTGGAGCGGGAGGCAATGCTGCCCATGCAACTCTGTGAAGAATCGTTCATTTCTCACTGAGGGGACAGCAGGGACCAGGATCCTGGGCTTCAGGGATCACAGCCACAGCCAGCTGGTTCTGCCGCCCAGTGAGGCTGTGTGGGCTGGGGCAGGAGGGCTTTGGAGCAACAGCAGTTCCTAAGAATTGATCCTTTTGAGCCCAAGCCCTCCAAATTTGATCTCCAGCTCAAGGTTCTGTGAACTTCCACACCCATAAATCCAACTGCCTCTCCCCTCTCTCCATGGAGATCCTCAAAGTCATCTTGAAGACGCTCCACGTTGTAAGATGATGTCGCTCCCAAGCTTTGTGGGGTCTTTCCAGATGTCCCAGTTTCCCAGGCTGGCATGACCAGTCACCCGGTTCATTCTCAGTCTAGGACTCAGACTCATCCTTGTCCTCTCATTTCCCAAATGTGGGCTGCGAACAGCCGAGTAGATGTTTCAGCTGAAATGTCCCCGACCCCCCTTCCATCCAGTCTCCCCACTGCGCCCGCATGATCTCTTCAGAGTCAAACAATGGATGCCCTGGTCCAGCCTCCCTGCCCGGCTCTGCCCTCTCCACGTCTTTCCTACCTGCTGCTCCCCTCATTCTGAGCCCCACCACTAGGCGGGGGCCCTTGAGCCCCAAGGGGTCTGGCTCCGTCCTCCTAGGGCCTCACAAATGCCTACTAGGCCCCCGGGGCGTGCTCCAACTTCACTTCCCCAGGCAGCCTCCCCAGCTCAAGGATGGGTCAGCCTGCTGCCCCTGTGCTCCCTTCTGAATGTGGTCTTCCCTATGGACCTCCTGCCTCACTTTTC